GATAATTAACTTCCTTGTGTCTTCATTTCTTCATCTGTAAGTAGGGATAACCTCTATCTTGCAAAATAAGCTACTTTGGAGGCATGCATTAAAATAATGCGTGTGAAGTGCTTAGCATAGTGGCCAGACAATCATATTAATCATGAAGAATAGCAGCTCTTATCACTATCCATGATGCCACACACTGTTGGGCACTGAGTGTCCTTTAACCAAACCAAATGGGGTAGCAGATTCCAGCAACGAAGTACATAGCCTTGGAGGCAGACAGACTGAGAAGAAATCATTCTGAATGCCCTGGGAAACTGGGCTCTGGTTTGGTTTCCCGTTTTTAAAATTCTTCTGCCTTGTAGGTTATCATGCAAACATAAAAAAGAGTCCAGAAAGTTGCTCACTCGCCTCGAGTGTAATGCTCACTGTTTCTGCTTACTTCCTTCTTGACTGCACAGACTGATGATCTCATAACATTTCCCTTTCTCGCCTATCTTAAAAAAACAACATAGTTTATTGTGTAAATGTTGTGCGTATTTCTACAAATACACATGTGTCACTTTGAATTATGAATACATTAATAAGTCCAACGAATTTATATAATGTCCATCTGAAATTGGGGTAATTACAAAACAAGGTCAGGTTGATGTTCTTAGGGTTGAGTCAAATCCACCCATTTTCCACTAGGTGGCAGACCTTGTTAAAAAGTTATGGAAAAGAAAAGAAAGTAAAAGAAAACAATGAGTCTTCTGAAACTGACCGATAGGTGTCTCTTTGCAACCACATATCCCTGAGCTGTTGCTTAAAATACAAATTCAACACTCCCTAGTCTTTCTTATTCATCTTACAGATAATATCAACACTTTCCACAAGATACACACAGAACAGTGAAGAGATGAATATCTCTTAGTTTTCATGATACGCTTAACCATATTCTATCCACCCAAAGGGAAATGAGATCATACAAACATAACTAGGAATAAGATTCTGAACACGAGTGACTTGGCAGAAAGCAGATTTCATTAAAATTCTGTTCCCAAGTTAAAGGTTTTCTGTTTGAAGTGATCTTAAATATTTACTGATCATATGTGATGGTACTTATAGAGCTATTAGCATTAGCACTAACTCCAGACAGACGCAGATGCCTGGTGGCTATTGGCCTGCCGAACATGACACTGGGAACACGCAGGAAATAATGGAAACTCCTAAACAGCAGAGGGACATCCTGACACCATTTTTGGCTACGATTACTTTTCCCAACATTCAGACATGTGAGCGCTCACAAAAACACGCGTTCACGCTCATATTTGGCCCTGTTGACATACTTGCATATGTGGAGTGCATGTAAGAGTGCCATCCATTCCCTCAGAGAAAAGAGGTTCTCCTTATTGTGGAGCTCAGAATGTATAAGCAGAATCCCATGCCTGCTCTGATAATTTTCCAACAGGAAATTTAGGAATATTTCTTCCTAAATCCTTTCACATACAGATATGTGTATGTTAAAAACTCACAAAATGGCATTGCACCCTTGTCATTCAAACTTCAAAGTTATATTTAATAAATGCTTTGTTTCTATATAAATAGATTTTTAAAATTAATAATGTATTATAATATTCTCCAGATTCCACAAACTCATGATTTCATCACTTCATATTTTTCAAGGGATATGAATATGCATATGAATTGAGGGGATATGAACCCCCTCTGGAGTGATCACACCACACACCAAAGTTAGAAGGAGATGCCTTTCATTTTAGGAGACAGGACACAGCATAAAATGGGATTTTTCAGCCTCTACCACACCCTAGTTTCTTCTGGGGCTAGATTTACTACTCCATTTCCTAAACATGGTAGTCAATACTTGCACTGCTTTTTACACACCTAAATACCTAAATGTGTACAAATCTCCATGCAAAGTAAAGAAACCCAAGGTACATTCTCAAACCTCACGGATCTAATTTATTCCCCTACTTGGCAGGGCAAGAATGTGTCTTTCATGAAAAAGACTGGCTCCAGGAGAAACCCCACCCATCCAGGGAGCCTGTGGGAAAGGCTGGCCCAGACCTTTAACTTACAAAGTTTTCCACAAGTTATCTTGGTCAGCTTCTTCAGAAAACAGAGGAAATCAGAGCCTGTCAGGTACGTCACATCAAATCACATCATGGCAATTAAAGAATTAGATTATACGGGTGTCTGGGGTGCCAGGCAACCCACACAGCCCATGTCATGGAGTCTCGCCAGTGTGGCTCAAGCCTAGGAAGGATTACTTTTTAAGCCTCACTATGGCCTTCAGAGTTCCTCTTTTCTCCCTATACTACATTAAACTCTCGGGAGCCTAAGGGCAGAGCTTGTGCCTTCCTTATTTTTGTCTTACCGATGCCCACCGGCTTCACCCTGGCTGGGCTGTGTCCATGTGGCTCTAAGAACAAGTACCATTTATTTAATAGTTATTAAATAAATTAGGCTGATAAACCCAATCAGCCTAATTATGGAGCACCAATTTCTTACCAACCTAGGACTGAATCCTTGGATTAGCAAAGGGTTTGCTTGTTCCATTTTTCCCTCTCAGTCGTTGATTTGACTTCTATTGGATTCCAGAATGAAAGCTTTAAAATCTGGTGCAGTTGCCGCCACAAAGATTTCTGTCCCTGGGCAAGAGAAAGTCTTTTTGTCAACGACCAAAGCCAACCCCTCCAGATGAGCCCTCTGGCTGGCAGAAGGAGAGGAAACCTCTGTCTTGTCTTAGCAGAGTCCCAGGAGCTGGCCTTTGGGTGTGGCCTTGACTTCCCTGCTTGCGTTTTTACCACATGGTGCTGGCGCCGCATGCCCTCCACTGTGTCTGAGCAGAGCACCTGTTTCTTCTGACTCACGCCATCAGCGCGCAGACTCGCCCTGCTCTGACAGCGGCCCAGACCTCACACGGGCATACGTGTTACTCGCTAGCACGCGGATCTGTGTAATGACATGCCCCATGCACAGACCCGGGCCCCATCCGCTCCTCACAGTAGGTGTGGCCGCACGTCCCGACGCCGATCTGTGCAGTGCACCCTCAGATACCTGCTGATGGGGCTGGGCTGGATTATGCCTCTGTGATCCAAATGTATGCTTTTTTAATAAATGTTGTAAATGGATTTTTGAATACACAAGTTAGTAGGTTATCTTGTGTTATAACTACCAGCAAATACATACCAAAACATTGTCTAACACTCTTCTTTGTTGCGAATAGACTGTGTAGAGTGAAACAAGGAAATAATAGCCATGGCGATTTGTGTTTTCTCAACTGTGCTATATCTGTAACAAAAATGTGCGTTTTGTGGGGAATGGAATAAAGAGCAAGGAGGACTCCTGCTCTCATAAACCCAGGTGCCTACACCTGAACAAACACTCACATAGAGTAGCAAGCTTCGAAAACTGCCTCTGGCTTTTACTCCAGGTTCCAGTTTGTGTGTGGAGAAATCGAATATGTATTCATATTTTCCTCTCTCCTGCAAGTACAGTTCCCTTAGCATAAGGATTCCTCTGAATTATTTTCTCTGTTTGATATTTAAATTAGTGACTGTTGGAAGAAATAAGCATAATCATTGAAATTAGATTAGGAAATCTGTGAGTGCCCCACCTCAGTCCCCAAACGCACATACACTCTTGTTTTCTCATTCCAAGATTAAGAAGTTATGCAGCCTGACAATGCACTTTTCTCTGACAAGTCTTGACATCACCACTGTTATTTTCTTTTTCACTGTTTTCCTCCAGCACCTGTTAGAAACAGCAGTAGGGTGATCTTCACGTGAATTTGTTCTTTCCTTATTATTTTAGCAAAAGGTCTGCAATGGACACAGATGCTTTAAAATATGCTTGAAATTTTATATTTAAAATAAACCACCTTAAAGTATTTTTAGATTGAAGACCATATACAAAATAAAGCTATTTTTGCAGTTACTAGACTGGGTCCTTAAAACTTTAATCAACTGATACTCATAAGAGTATCCTTTAATTTCCTTTTTAGCATTATACAGGAAACTAGCAGATACTGAGATGGATTTTAATGGCATTATACTGATGAAAATAGCACCAAATAAAAGCAGGGGAATATTTGAAATAAAAATAATTGTCTCTGAAGACGCATACACCCTTTTTCCCATAAAAATGCACTGTAGTACATGAAAAGATAAGATCTCTTGTCAAAAGTGTGAGCGAGAGAATGTCTCGTGGTTCCAAATGACAGTTTACCTCTTGCCCCCCTTCTCTGCCAGCGTTCCTTTTTATCTTTGCAATCTTCCAGTTCTTCCGATCAGCCTGCCTTTAACGGGCTACAAAGCATTTCTTTCAAGCCACCATAGCTAACACGGTGATATGATTACTTAATTTGCACGCGGCCGCGCTGCCCCTGGCTTCGCGGAAGCCCTGAGTAGCGCAGCGCCCTCGCCGCACGCAAGGCTGCAGTCGCTCTCCAGGCCGGAGTCCCAGGAGAGCGTCCTCCGCGCTCACAGGCGCCTTTGTCTTCCCGCTTCCCCCTTCCTTTTTCAAATGCCAAGAGTTAATTATTTGGTCCCTGTGCAAGGCAAACCTCTCCAGATGCCACTTCCAAATATAGGCTCTCATTAACACCAGAGGCTGGCCTGGTATGGTGCAGGGCGGCCCTTCCTTCCCCTGGCGGACACTGTGTCCCCGCGCGCTGACGCTGCCCCACATCTGGAAGCCAGGCGGGCCGGGCAGAGACCCCGGCTCCTGCGCCCCTCTTAACTCCCAGACAGCGTGGATCGCGGGCGGGGTTCACCGAGGGAGGTTACCTCTCTTGAAAATACTTAAACACTTTTTTTTCCTCTCCACTGAAATCTCGAAAAACAGCCCATTTTGAACCAGAATAATTTAGTCTGACAACAGATTCTTCCTCTGTTCACAGCTGTCCCAGAGGGAGGAGCTGAAATCTGAACCTCTCAGCTGTGATTGGATCTTTCTTGCAAAAGAGAGGAAAAAAAAACCCTCCCAACCAAAACGGGCTCAGTTCGTAAAGGAGCCGGGCGACTTCAGAGGCGCCGGCCCGTCCGCCTGCCGCACCTGAGCGCGGCCCCTGCCGGAGCCTGGCCCGCCGCGATGCTGTAGGGACCGCCGTGTCCTCCCGCCGGACCGTTATCCGCGCCGGGCGCCCGCCAGACCCGCTGGCAAGATGCCGCGCTCCTTCCTGGTCAAGAAGCATTTCAACGCCTCCAAAAAGCCAAACTACAGCGAACTGGACACACACACAGGTAAAAAGAGAAAAATATATCTAGAACTACGTATCTAGAGCGTTGCAAATATGAATCTACGTATTACCCTTCAAATGCCATTACAAAAGAGCCAAAGGTTCAACTGTTTTCCTTTTAAACAGTGTCCCGAAACGGAGCTTACGTTCTTTTGATAATTTGGGGTGCGTTTTAATTCAAAACTTTTTGAATTCTTGACTAACAAGGAACATTTCATTCAAATCTCGCAGCTTCGTGTTTGCTAAAGCCTGTGTATACATGCATAATGAGTATGTGAAAGATGAGTGACATAAGGGTTGAATTACTGCGTTTTTCATGCACGAAGTCTCCTTTCCTTTAGAAGGCGGCTTGATGCAGGCATATCTTTGTACTCACGGTCGTAATACACCTAAAGAGCCCATACATAAAATGGAAAACAACTTTTCTGAATGTTTAAAAATAATGTTGAGGCTCTCCCTCCTTAGTGGGGACTGCGAAGGCACTGGCTTGGCTGCACTCTGTCTTCAGAGCACCTATAGCTCCGTACAGCTGTCAGCCTATGTGTGCATTAAGTACAGTAACTCCGTAGGTGCCAGGGTGGAAATGAAACATTTCACCAGTGTGTATGCCCTCCTAAATGGGTCTATCTTTTCCCTAAGAAAATCACGTGTGTGTTGCTAAATATCTTTCCAGTGTGTGCATGCTTGCGTGTGGATTTAATTTTAGTTCTTTTTAACTTAACCTTCTCTCCCTCCCTTTTCTTTCCCAGTGATTATTTCCCCGTATCTCTATGAGAGTTACTCCATGCCTGTCATACCACAACCAGAGATCCTCAGCTCAGGAGCATACAGCCCCATCACTGTGTGGACTACGGCAGCTCCATTCCACGCCCAGCTACCCAATGGCCTCTCTCCTCTTTCCGGATACTCCTCATCTTTGGGGCGAGTGAGTCCCCCTCCTCCATCTGACACCTCCTCCAAGGACCACAGTGGCTCAGAAAGCCCCATTAGTGATGAAGAGGAAAGGCTACAGTCCAAGCTTTCAGACCCCCATGCCATTGAAGCTGAAAAGTTTCAGTGCAATTTATGCAATAAGACCTATTCAACTTTTTCTGGGCTGGCCAAACATAAGCAGCTGCATTGCGATGCCCAGTCTAGAAAATCTTTCAGCTGTAAATACTGTGACAAGGAATATGTGAGCTTGGGCGCCCTGAAGATGCATATTCGGACCCACACATTACCTTGTGTTTGCAAGATCTGCGGCAAGGCGTTTTCCAGACCCTGGTTGCTTCAAGGACACATTAGAACTCACACGGGTAAGAGAAAAAACATAGGCAGGAATGTTACTCTGAGATACAGTGAAGCCCTGAACTGGTTGTTGGATTTGCATGAAGTTGTGACATAGTGCTTTTAATGATGGACAGTCATTGATAACTACTTCCTGACTACTCAAAAAGTTGTTAGGGCACAAAGTGCTCCATTTCTTGCTAACAACCTCTGCTCTAGGGACTGCAAACAGCATGTAGACTTTGGAAAGTAGATTCAGAAGGTTTGGTCTCAAAGATCAGTTAGAAAATCAGGAAAGATGTGCTTGAATGTGTGTTCTGTGAAACTGCCCCCAGTAATCAGCAAAAACAAATGTTGCTATCTTAATCAATTGATTTGGTTAATAGATGAAGGCTTTTCCTACAGTTTTCTGTTAGTTACATTCTTGCTCTGATATCTATCACCAGTGGGTGACTTGGATAGTTGAAACTAAATTTACTTTGCCTCTCTTGCTTTGTTTGGGGATTTTTTGCTGCTTAATTTCTTATTCCTATCACAGAATTATCCTGCAGGGTATCATGGCACTTAGACTGCCTTAACCATAGTACAGAAAGAGGGAAAAGGGGAAATATTGGGAAATGTTGGGAGGTGCTCAACATTAGCTGCACCTGCTAAAGCAGAAAGCTTTAAGAAGTGAAAGTCCAAGAACTACGGAAATTATTTCTGCGTAATTGGCAGCAGTAATAATATTCTGTGTATGATTTTTAAATGCAATATTAAAATTTATCTTCAAAGGTCAGGTATTTTTAAAGTGTCTATTATGAGGGATTTTAATCAGGTTTTGCTGCTTCTCATTATTTAGGCAAAATGTGATTGACTTTTGTTAACATTATTTAACTTTATGTTTCCTCTAAAAACACTGACTGTCTTTCTTTTTTTCTCCCACTCCATCCCCAGGCGAGAAGCCTTTTTCTTGCCCTCACTGCAACAGAGCATTTGCAGACAGGTCAAACCTGAGGGCTCATCTGCAGACCCATTCTGATGTAAAGAAATACCAGTGCAAAAACTGCTCCAAAACCTTCTCCAGAATGTCTCTCCTGCACAAACATGAGGAATCTGGCTGCTGTGTAGCACACTGAGTGACGCAATCAATGTTTACTCGAACAGAATGCATTTCTTCACTCCGAAGCCAAATGACAAATAAAGTCCAAAGGCATTTTCTCCTGTGCTGACCGACCAAATAATATGTATAGACACACACACATATGCACACACGCACACACACACACACACACACACACACAGAGCTGCAAGAGCACGGAATTCATGTGTTTCAAGATAATCCTTTCCATGTGAAGTTTAAAATTACTATATATTTGCTGATGGCTAGATTGAGAGAATAAAAGACAGTAACCTTTCTCTTCAAAGATAATATGAAAAGCACATTGCATCTTTTCTTCCTAAAAAGAATGCGAAGATTTACATTGCTGCCAAATCATTTCAACTGAAAAGAACAGTATTGCTTTGTAATAGAGTCTGTAATAGGATTTCCCATAGGAAGAGATCTGCCAGACGAGAACTCAGGTGCCTTAAAAAGTATTCCAAGTTTACTCCATTACATGTTGGATGTCTGGTTGCCATTGTTGAACTAAAGCCTTTTTTTGATTACCTATAGTGCTTTAAAGTGTATTTTTTAAAGGGAGGAAAAAATAACAAGAACAAAACACAGGAGAATGTATTAAAAGTATTTTTGTTTGGTTTTGTTTTTGTCAATTAACAGTATGTGCCTTGGGGGAGGAGGGAAAGATTAGCTTTGAACATTCCTGGCGCATGCTCCATGTCTTACTATTTTAAAACATTTTAATGAGTTTTGAAAATTAATTAAAGATGGGAATAAGTGCAAAAGAGGATTCTTACAAATTCATTAATGTACTTTAAACTATTTCAAATGCATACCACAAATGCAATAATACAATACCCCTTCCAAGTGCCTTTTTAAATTGTATAGTTGATGAGTCAATGTAAATTTGTGTTTATTTTTATATGATTGAATGAGCTCTGTATGAAACTGAGATGTTTTCTATAGCTATGTCTATAAACAACCTGAAGACTTGTGAAACCAATGTTTCTTTTTTAAAAAACAATTTTCAAGGTTTTTTTTTACAATAAACAGTTTTGATTTAAAATATCTTGTTTGTATACTATTTTCAGAGACTTTACTTCTTCGTGATTAGTACCAAACCACTGTACAAAGAATTGTTTGCTAATAAGAAAAAAAGAATAGTGCTTATTATGCATCTGAAGTGTTATTTTATGTGTTAGATTATAATAAAGTGAGCTGCTAGTATTATTTTTACTCTTAAGATAGTAGTGTCACATTCAGAAAAGACAAGATGGTGGATTGTTAGTGTACCACTTTAACAAAACTCACACTTTCCAAGTGCAAAAATAGTTGCATTACTAATACTTAAAAATACTTTTCAACATTTTTTATGTTGACTTTATCAAGTTTATGAAAACAAAAATTGCAATCACTTTTATTATTACATAGGCGCTGTAACAGTTTAAGATTTTTAAAAGAAATATTATGTAATGAAATAAATGAGGGGAAAAGAATACAAACTGCATGAAAAGACCAGGAGAAATGATTTACTATAAATTACACGAGTTGGAAAATTAAACCATGCAAAGAAATCCCCGCATCTAGTGATATATAAAATAAGTGATATGTTTGATAGGAACAGGTCAGTGAGCAGTGAAAATTACCTTTTAAGGTATTTGAACACGTTGGACAAGCCCACACCCAAACCTAATGTGTACTGGAGAAATTATAACATGACCATGCATTCATACACATATGCATGTGCATATGCTAAATCAATGCATATGTAGTAACTCATATGCAAAAATCCTAACCATCATAGGAACTGTGAAAGTTAACCAAATGTATATTTGAATTCAAACTCCTAAACTTATTATAAGAAGAAGAGTTCCTGCTTCTGTTCATCACATCTCTCTGGAGATTTGATCAGAACTTGGAGATCATCTTTTTCCTTTTAATATCTTTGTAATATGATACTAATAAATGCCAGAACCTGTATCTCAAAGATGTTAGTAGCAGGCCCCTAGGAAATGACCAACAATAAATACCAATACTATTCCCTTAATGTTCACATTTCTTCCACTGTATGTTACATTTACATTTTCAACCAACATATAAAAGGGGGTGCATTTGACTAAAAAAAGGCTTCAACTTAGTATTCTGCTTTAATTTTTTGACATTGCAATACATATTTTTTAGAGGCAAAATTATTTGGAATAGCAGTTTATGGATATGAAAAAAATGGCTGATAGCTTGACTGGAGCATTCTAAACTTATAAAAGTACCAATTTAGCGAAATGTATATGGTATAAAAATGATTGCCAATGATTATCTAGAAGTTTCCAAGCCAGCTAGCATGTAGAAACATCTGGCAAGGGGAAGTGTGAGTGAGTCAAGCCTTCTTGGATGTTCTGGTTGGCTATCCCAGGAATCACATCTACTCCTGTTTCCCTTCCTCATTTGTAGGTCTACAGGCAAGTAGCCTCTTGGTGACCAAAATTTAATCGGCTTTCTAAGAGGAAAAGTCTATTCATTGTTTAATTTCTTAGTGAAGAATTACTATTAATATTTTTGTAATTTATTTGACTTCATTCTCATCATTCTAATTTCATGTTTAAAATATTTTACTTTCATTAAGGTGTCATGGGTCTGAATTAAGTCACAGCAGATATTAAGATATTCTTTTTTTTTTTTTTTCAGATGGAGTCTTGCTCTGTCACTCAGGCTGGAATGCGGTGGTGTGATCTCGGCTCACTGCTCCATCTCTCAGGTTCAAGCAGTTCTCCTACCTCAGCCTCCTGAGTAGCTGGGATTACAGGCGCGCTCCACCACCACCAGCTAATTTTTTTTAAGTCCATACTACGTTTATTTTTTAAAGTTTTATTATGAAATAATTAGAGATTCACACAAAGTTGGAATGCTAGTAAGGAGAGGTCCAGTCCTGTGTACACTTCTGGGAATGCTTACATTTTAACATAACTACAGTACAATATTAGAATCAGTAAACTAATATTGGTACAATGTACATGTATTTTATCACATTTGGATTCCTATACCTAATACTACAATCAAGATACATAAATATTCCATTAGCACAAAGAACTCTCTCATATTACTCATTTATAGTCACCACTCTCCCAACTTCAATATCCCTAACCCTTAACAACCATTAATTTGATCGCAATCTCTATAATTGTGTCATTTCAAGAATGTTACATAAATAGAATCATATAATATATAACCTTTTGATACTGGCTTTATTTCCTATTTCAGCATAATGCCCTTTGAAATCCGTCCAAGTTGTTGCATATCAATAGTTCCTTCTTTTTATTGCTGTGTAGTATTACATGGTATGATTGTGCCACTGTTAAATCATTCACTTACTGTAGGACATTGAGGTTGTTTCAAGTTTTTTGCTACTACAAATAAAGATGCTATGAACAATTATGCTCAGGTTTCCGTGTGGAAGTAAGTCTTCATAGGATAAATGGTCAGGCACAAAACTGCTGAGTCATGTGGTTTAACTGTATGTTTAGTTTTAAAAGAAACTGCCAAATTATCTTCCAGAGTAGTGATATCACTTTACAATCCCAACACCAATGTATGAGAGATCTCATTTCTCCACATTCTCACCAAAATTTGAAGTTGTCACTATGTTTTACCGTTTAGCTGTTTTAATAGATGTGTAGTGAAAACATCTCACTGAGGTCTTAATTGGCACTTCCTTGATGGCTAGTTTAACATATTTTCATGAATTTGTCATCTGTATATCCTCTGAGGTGAAAAGTCTCGTCATGTCTTTTGTTCATTTTCAAATTAGATTGCTTGCTTTCTAACTATTGAGTTGAGGAGGTTGTTTTGTTTGTTTTGTTTTTGGTTGAGACACAGTTTCATTCGGTCGCCCAGGTTGGAGATGCAGTGGCTATCACAGCTCACAGCAGCCTCTACTTCCCAGGCTTAAGCGATCCTCCTGCCCAGCCTCCCAAGTAGCCACACCAAGCTAATTTTTTTAAACATATTTTTTGTAGCGACAAGATCTCACTATGTTGCCCAGGCTAGTCTCGAACTCCTGGGCTCAAGTGATCCTCCTGTCTTGGCCTCCCAAAGTGCTGGGATTACAGGGGTGAGCCACTGTGCCCAGCTAGGCATTTTGTATATGTGCTAGACATGAGTTCCCGGTCAGATGTGTGATATACAAATATTTTCTCCCAGTCTGTAGCTTAGCTTTTCGTTCTATTAACAGGGTCTTTCCCAAAGCAAAAGTTTTTAATTTTTTATGAAGTGTATTTTATCTTTTTTTTTTAAAATCATCCTTTGCCTATTTTATCTTTTTTTAAATCATCCTTTTGGCATCATGTCTAATAACTCTTCTCTAAACTCTAGGTCCCACAGATTTTCTCCTGTTTATTTTTCTCCAAGTTTTACAGTTTTACATTTTATATTTAGGTTCATTATCCATTTTGAGTTGATTTTTGTACAAGTATAAGGTTTAGGTCAAGGTTTTACATCTTATAGATATCCAGCTGCTCCAGCACCATATTTTTTTCTCCTTTTTCCGCAGGTTCTAATCCAGCACCCTTATTAAGACTATTCTTCCATTGAATTACTTTGGCACTGCCAATTGTGCTGACTCCATAAATCTCAGATAAAAATAGCCACTTTCAATAAGATCCAGGTGATACATAATCTGATCAAACAACTCTTGTCCTTTGGCTTTTTTTGGCAAGTCGGCACTAACATCAGTACCATCCAGAAGGGACACCCAACATGTGATGATGGACTTGGAATCTCCAGCTGCAGGAATAAGTGTGGCAGTGTGTTGTGCTTCTCGGAGTCGTTCTTTCTCTTCATGTTTACCCATAGACAGATTTCCTAGTGTTCTATGGAAGAAACTCAGCATTTTTGTCACTCAGCTGGGGATGGCGCGTCCCTGGCGGTAGCTACCAGAGGGAATAAGAGCCGAGCAAGGCTGAGGAGGGGGGTGGCTCCTCAGGAGACACTGAGAAATGGCACCCACAGCGAGCCCACCCACTCTAATTCCCGGAGGACCCTGACCTCCTGCCCATCCACCCCTTAAAGCTCCCTCCCAGCTCCCTAATTTTTATATTTTTATTAGAGACGGGCTTTCACCATGTTGGTCAGGCTGGTCTTGAATTCCTGACCTCGTGATCCACCTTCCTGGGCCTCCCAAAGTGCTGGGATTACAAGCATGAGCCACTGCACCTGACCTAAGATATATCTCAAGTAAATTTTTAGAGTTTTTAGAATTTTTACCAAGGTCTTGCACTTAGTAAAAGTCTGCTCTCCTATATACACACATAAGACCCAAATCAAATGTCAATTACTTTGAAATACTTTACCAAATTCACCCCCTCTGGGAGCTTTATACTATTTATATGATATTACTTACCTCATTATATCACAATCTTTTTTTGATGTCTTTTTCATTACACAAAACATCCTTAAAGCAGAAATTCCTAGTACCCAGCCCATCATCTAGAACACAAATATCAACAAATGTTTGTTGAATGACTATATCAATAAAATGACAGAAATTGGTAAAAAATTGCTTGCAGATCTAAAAGAAATTTATCATATTTCCCTTTATAGCATAGTATTGATGATTTCTGAGAGATCCTTGAAGCAAATTTACTGGTGTCTCCTAGTGATGACAGATCTTCAAAATAGATGGGATGTCCAAAAAAGTGAAGAAGCGGAGTAAATAGAGTGCATATAGACAAGGTTTAATAAACATTCTGAAAGCCTGCACTTGGGAAACTATGGTTTTAACAATATGTACATATGCACATGAGCATTCTCAGTATCTTTAATTTGTTTCATATAATCTTGGACTCTGTGTTATAGTGAGGAAAGCACAAGTTCCTAAATCCAACAAATGCATTCATTGCATCACTGCCTCACCACTTGTTGGCCTTATGTCCTTATGCAAGTTACGTATCCATTTCCTATTGTGTAAAATAGAAAGAGAATCTCAGTATTATAAATAA